CATTATTAACATTATGTAGCCATTTTGATTATTGATTTTGAAACTGACGGACTAGGTTAGGAATTATGACCTCGCAATCACATCAATTTCCATAAGTAAAAAAACTTCAACTGACTGCTATACAAAAACCACGGGCTATAGCCTCAGAATACAGGTTTATTGATAAGGAATTTGCATTGATTGTCTACCATTTTCGTTTGAGAATTTTTTTATGACACGTATAGAACACTAGATTCGTGGTCAGATGAAGATTGCCAAATTTGAACCTACTAGTTCTCATCAGCACAGAATAAGCAGTTTTAATAAAGCCAACCAAACTGAAGTTATTTCACTCAGGAATGGTAATTAATATGAAATATCTGAAACTATACCATCATTCTTATAAATACTGTTTTATTGTGTTCAAATAAATAAGCTGCAGGTGAGATCTTTTTACTTTCTGTTTCTTTCTTTTAACAAATTCTAACTGTAATTGTATTATCTCTATAGTGATTAATTGCACTTCTACACATAGAATTCTGAAGATAGCGCGACTCCTTATCCATTTACTAATGCGTTGTTTGTTATTTCAAAAATAGTAATTAACGCGATGTTTGAAGTTTATATTGAATTATATTAGCATCAACGGTTTTGCAAGTCCTTCAACATTATCCTTTTAGTGCTTCAGAAGTTTAATTAAGTGTTACGAGAAGTGTACTGAAGCAAAAGCAGAAAACACTGAAAACATGTAAGCACTTTAGATTGTTTTCCGTATTCCTTCAACTACCACATGGAACCTTCTTCGCTTATACATATAGTTTCTGGCAGTAGAGGTAAGATACAAACGAGTGGGTTTAGATAATACTTTGACTATACGTGTTTGCTTTACCTAAAAGTTCTGTACGTTATAATATCCTACGGGTAACATTGCATCTCAACTGAAACGTCAGATTTTCCTATGAAGAGATTATAAGTTTTCCACGCTCTTACCTTTGCATAATCTGAGAATTTCGTGACGCGAACGCCGCACAAGAACAACTGAAAGTTGAGCGTTCAGCTGAGCAAGCATCATCAAGCCTGCGTTTTGTAACAGCTGTAGCTATTTTATAATTCAAAATTTTCTGTCAAATTATTTATCATAAACAGGAAAGTTGTGCCCAGAAACGCCTCATTTCGTCATCAGAAAGTACAGCGTGACAAAATCAACTTTCAAACTTAGACGACATCGGCAGCGTTAATACGTGAATTGCATCGTGTAACTTTGAAAATCTAATTAGACCGGGCTTTGATGAATTATTAAATGACGCAATCCGTTCAATTCCAGTAAAATTCCTACATAAACAGGCAACTTCAATTCCGAAATGAGAAAGATCTTAGATACTGCTTCCGAATCAGTTTAACGAGGCGTTTGGTTAATTAAATTAATTTGCGCAGGCTTCATTGCACACGTATATATATATATATACGGAGTGTCTACGTAAAGAAACATATATTAAAATTGTATTTTTTTTTTTGAAAAATTAACAAGAAAAAATCTGTCAATTCTGCGTCGATTTGGTTATCAACTGCCTGATTTCTTTGATTTGATCTAATTAATCTAATCAAATCTAAACATTGTTGGGCGCATTTTATATGAAATATATTAATCCAGTAATAACGTACAAGAAAATGCTAGAAAAAAAGCAGTAAACCGAGAGTTATTAGTTTTTCATTCATTCGCGTACGAAAAATGTGACATTATTGTCATTAACAGTGGATAGAAAGCTTACTGGGTCAAGGCATTTTATTTTAGAGATGAAAGCAGGAAATCTAGAGCTTAATTAAAAAGAATGTAAATGTAGGTTTTTCATAAAGCACTAGGTGACGAATTCTAAATTCAGAAGAAATGAACTTATGAAATAGTCGAGAATATACAAATGTTTCAGATGAAACAAAGTCATCTACTAAAGCTAAACTTTATAAAAAACGAACTAGGAACTATGTACATACAATGAGTATACTAACATGGCAGGTATATTAAGTATAGGTAAATTAAGGGATTTTTAACATTTTTTTAAATTATATTAAATTAAAGGTCCTACGTTCAAATCTCATTAAGTTTTGGAAAATATTGCTGAAATTTTTTGTGTTTCTTCCTTTTGTCTTCTTTTAATTGAAAGTATACGTTTGGTCACAATTTTTTATTGGGAAATTCAGATTAAATGCTATTTTCTGTTTTCTCAATATAACAGATATATGATGAAATATTATATTTAAAAGTGTCATCTTTTATTCGTACCTTATGTATTAAGGTTTCATATTATTTTCGTTTAAAATTAGTATTTATTGTGAAATAAATAAGAGAAAAAAAGGAATCATAATATGTATATGGCATATAATAAATGAATAATAAATTCATCATCACTTTTTCTTATCTTCGGTTAATCTTCGTATTTCCCTGATTTTTTTCTAACGACATAGCGAAGAAAGGGTATCAATTTGAGGGCAAATTTTGAAGTGTACCGGAAGTGAAAAAGGGAAAGCGTAAACTAGTATTCCTCATCGCGGAACCGGAAGCGCACACACTTGATCGCATTCGCTATTTTTCAAAGAAGACTGTACCGATACTTTCGTATAAGAACCAATCGATATGACCTTAACAAGTGATGTTTGTAATGCTAAATCTGACATTGTTAAAGTAATCCGGCTTTTAGGTTCTGAATATATAAAATATTTCATTGCACCAAGAAATCGGTTGGAATTATTCATAAACTTTGTTTTAACTATTTACTACTAGATACCGGTAAAAATTTCGAAATCTTTAGTTAGAACAAAGAAGCTAGAGAAGGTCAGTTACATGATTTCAGCTGCTTGAAGTAGATAAGCATAAGTAACATTTTTAATTCATTTCATACTGGTTAATTAATTAGATATTTGTAGTAATCAATCAAAGCTTTGTAAAGTCTTTTTTTTAATAAATAAGAAGTACAAAATTATTATCTATGAAACCTTCCTGAGCATATGTTGGGAAACAACAAAAAATAAAATAACGAAAAATTTTGTTGAAGTAGAGCATTTACTAACTTTTATCGTTTCAGTATCCAAAAATCTTAAGGAGACAATTAATTTTTAGATTTTTGTAATAAATAAAACTATGTCTCAATTTCATACCATCAATAACGCCTAGTTTTGTTACTTAAAGACGTTAAAAAACGTTAAATTTTATTTAAACCGTGAATTATGCTAATAAACTAGAGTTACGGCAGCATGTCGCCACCTACTGGTATTTAATAGTTCATTTTTATCATAATAATTAAAAAGACTTCTGCCCTTATTTAATACAATATTCCGTTGATTGAGTTACTCTTTTTATATGAAATTCCATGAAAATAAATTTTGTCAGTTTTTCCAGAGATTGAGACCTTGCTAAATTGAATTCTCAATCTAAAATACCCCAGCCCTGTCAATTTCGCTAAAATACACAAGAGAAATTAGCCGATTTTTTATATGTTTAACTTTATCGAGTTACGACATACAGGGTGTATCAGTACCAAGCTTAGAGAGGTGATAGAGCACTATAAAATATGAGAATTAAGTACATGTTTGTATGTCTGAAAGTACAGGTAAATTCAATTCCGGCCCTGGTAAAATACGTCTCATAACGCTGTATTCAATTAACAGGTGATTACCAGCATCACTGTAATATTTGTTTTGTATTTTTTGCTGATGTATTGTTTATTTGTTAGAATAGATTAAGGGTGACTCAAGGTGTTTATGTTAAAAGCCATCTTCTTGTAAATTACTGTTTTTTAATTTTTTTTTTGCCCTAGACCACGCTGCTGAACTGACCGTGTGATTGTTTACACCCTGCACAAATCAACACTAATTTTTGTTGCACTATTTGCTGGTAACTGTAGTATTTCAAACGTTACTCAAGGTAAATCACATCACAGTGGATTACGTATGGATTAAGTTCTTATTATATAAAGTCAGAAACTATAAGATGTTGATCGCGATTTCGATCTTATTTGATCTCATTATCACGTATAATATAATTCAAATTCTACTTACCACCATCAGCAGAAAAGGGTACGATCCGGGTACTTCTTCCTCGATGACCCTGATATACGACGATTGATCGAAGGAAGGTGGTTGATCATTGGCATCTTTGATGTACACTACCACGGTGGTGTAGTTCTCGTTGAGACTGTCTGAGGCGACGAGGGTTAGCTCATACTATACCATGCATTACAGATACATATACATACATAAAATGCAACACGGCAAACAAAAGACAAACAAACAGAAAAACGGCGATAAACGATGATGCATGCTCATTTTTAATCTCTCGTTAAATAATGACTTATGTCATCACGTTTTAACTGTATTTAAATATGGAATTATCAATCATTGCAAGTTATAATATATCGCCCTCTATTGGCGAATTAGCCAAGCGTTTATTCTTGTTAAGGTTGCTTCATTTGCTGTACCTACTAACGTCATCTAGTATATACGAAAAAACTCACTAAATGAAAAGTTTTAAGTAATTAGGTAATAAAATCTTTGATAGGGGCTATAAAAAAAGAAAAAAAATGTTTTTTACGACAAATGCAATATCTCTCGATATGTGTTTTCTCTTTTTTGCCAAGCTAAATAAAAATGGATGGATTTCTTTTCATTTTTACGCGGTATTTTTACATTTATACAAATTACTCTAGGGCAATGTAATTTCCGCTCAATTAACTTTTCGTTTCTTCTAATTCCCTCGAGTGAGGATCGGAATGAAGCGGTTGTTTGTACAATTTTTTTTTTCAAAATAATAAAAACTTATACTACTTCTCATTGCTCGACGTTTACACTCTTTTGACGCTGCGGGAAGTCGGCTGGAAAATGTGGTTGTTTACGTCGATATGTTCTTTAGTAGACGTGGAAAAACAACTGGAAGGTCGATTTTGAATGACGGTAATGATTTTTTTTAAGGCGTTCGAGCCTACGTAAATCTGTCATGGCGAAGTAGCGCTCGAAAAAGAAGACAGGCAAAATGATTACTTGAGAATTGACAGCAGACATGTTGTTTAAATGTGACAGTGTAACAGCCTTACTTTGTGTTTGCTTCTTAATTTTATTCAATAAGGAACTTGCTCGTATCCTCAGTGACTTCCGACGCAACCAGGACCTACAAGCTTTTCTACTTAACATTTCTAAATTATCGGGGTGAATGGTCTTTTTTGGTTTGCATTTAACATTTTTTTTGCTTTCTTTTTTTTTATTAGGTACAACGAAATGAAAAAAAAAAATTCTTCCGTCGTCTCTAGCACTTTCGGAAAATTTTCTAGAAAATATTATTGCATTGAAAGATGGTACAGTTCACATAGAAAAAAAGCACAATTCAGCAAGTAATCATTTTTGCATTATTTTTTATTGCAACTCAGTATACAGTAAATGAAGGTGAGATTGATATTTAAATTTGTCTACAGTCAGGTTAGAAGCGTTAGAAATGTGGTGTTACCGACGAATGATGAGNTTACTATCATCGCGAATTTGAAAGAATTGTAGATATGTTCAATAGGAAATTTGTTAATTTAGCCGAAAGGGCATGACATACCTACTTAAAGGGTGTGAAAGAGGGTTATATTCCATCATTATCGTATAAAACGAAGTTGATTCTAACAAATATTAGTGATCAGTAGTAATTTCGTAATAGCTTTTGCTCCAAAATTAAATTATTGAACTTTCACACCTTTCAAGTAGGTATACCATGTTCTTTCGGTTAAATTAACAAATTTCTTACGGAATACATTAAAATTATTGAAGATTCGCGATGATAGTACATTTTTTCTGATATTCTGGATTTAATTGATAATTTAATCTATTTTAATGTTACATTAAATGCAATACATTTTATATAATGGTTTTAAGCTGAATTTTGCAAGATTAAGTTAAGACTAATACGAAATTCCAATGGGTAGCATTTAAGGCAAAATAAGTTATATTCTCTTCAACAGAACGACTTCGTTCTAGTATCAGAATATGAACAATAAAAAAGACAATGGTCGATTTAATCAATTATAAATTCCCACCGAAGTCGTTTAACGTGGAAGATAATATTCCAAGATTACCGAAATGGTCCATTTATAAACATAACGTTTCGAATTAGCGGCTGTGCTTAATTTCCGTTTTGCAAATGACGCTATGCGGGTTGATATTTGAGTCAAATGGCAACAATTTCGAAATGGAAACGGTAGAATTGATTCAGTTTTACGATAAGATTAAAAGGGGTATACGGCTTAGCATATGTACAAATACTAAATAGTCGTGTTAAAAGCAGATAAACAATATATTTATTCACAGGTAAAACCGCGAGGGTTCGTTGAATTATAAACAACATTATTAATTATTTAATGGGCACGGGGAGAAGGGTATGTTACATTTTACATTATTTTGCGCGTACCTATTATAATTTCTGGTTTAAAACAGATACAATTTTGATATCACTTTGGATTTGTAATCATTTTTAATTATCGTGTGGACGATTTTCCAGTTTCACGAAAATTGAATTCTAAATGGAAGTTTAAATTTATAAATGTATAATCGAAACAAATGTTTCAATTTTATGATGGTATTTAGGGGATGTTTTCAGTGCTATAATGAATCGTGCAGCTTCCGTTCCCTAGCATTTTCATTAAAGGGTTTCGTTTGGTCAATCAGTTAAAAACATTTGTGGAACTTTTTACGAAATGCTTAACCTGTCAACGAGAAAACAAGTGACAAAGATTTGATCAAAACTGTAACAAAAATTATTTGCATTTGCAATAAAAAACAGTGGAGTGCAAAATTTTGAATTAAATGCCACGGACGTGTTCTATTCGATGTTTACCTATATATGATATAGCTAAATCAATTTTCCATTCAAAACGTTTCTAATGAGTGATCTTTATAAAATTGGTAACCAGGATTTGCGTGCATTTCCAAGGAAAATAATTGCCTCGCATACAGAAAACCATTGACTCAAATTCTTTAGCAGCTAGAAAAATTGCTGTGGGATTATCCAAATCCAGAAAGACCCTAGAGGCAAGAATAAATGAAACGGTTAGGAATTTAGAATGCGATGTTATTCGAGTAAGTAGAACTCTCTATTTTCATCTAGAAAATAATTAATGCATTTTAGACAATGCATTTCGAGAATGGGTTGCATTTGATGGTAAGGGCATTGAAACTCCCAAAATTGAATTTTTAAGAAATAAAATACGTATTACTTTATAGACAGTGTAAGTGAATTTATGTGGGGCTATGTCACTGTTTTGTATTGAATCTGTACATCATGTATTCTCATCAGAACGATAATGTCTTATTTTAGGATTTGTAGCGCTTTTTATTTTTTGTATTTAGTTATTTTAGTGATGAATTATTGCCAATAACAAAGTTGATGGCTATGATTTAAATTACCAGCAAAAAAAATTAGAGTGAATTCTGCATTAAAATAAATTTCAGATCGATTGGCTAAATACACGTGGTTAGTAATAGGCCACTCAATCAGCTAAACCTGATTAAATCATATTTTAATTGAAAGATTAATAGGCACTGGGTAATACTGAATAATTGCATTGCAAATATAGTAAATAAGAAAACCTTTTTAAATCCAATACGTAAATATTTTCTACTTTTTGTTTTACGATGAAATTTATTTATCATCAACATAAACATAGAACTTTTAATTAATATTTATGAAAGCTAAAGATTCTAAAAACAGAAGGCAACTTTTGAGAATAGACCTTTTCTTTTGCAATTAAAAGTATTCTTAATTAATTAATCACTGTTAAGACGATGTTTGTTGTCATAATAGGCATATTTTGAATTAATGACATTCCGTTAATATTCACAAGAAGAACATTAAAATTGAGCATGCACCTAAAACTAGCGTGCAAATAAGGCGTCCATTTTTGTTGCTAAGGATAAGTAGCAAACTGCATCAGCTAGAGCGAAATAAAAAGTAACAACGACATGCGCCACCCGCCTGTAAAACTCGTTTCGGTAAATTGCGATCGTCTTCTTCAGTAATCTGGGTCCTGTATGTAGGTCTTTCGAAGACTGGAGGATTGTCGTTGACGTCTTTTACGTGAATTACGACAGTCGTGTAGTTTTCTTTTAGGTTGTCGGAGGCGGCGAGACGCAATTCGTACTGCGATTGTAGTAAAAGAATTGAGTTATTAGCTACCTTCACATTTAACTTTTGAATATTTGTAAAATTTCATTTTTAACTTTCCGATTACAGTAAGTTGAATTGCTGAATTTTATGGTAGTCATAAAAAAATTCCCGGGAAAAGAGCCCGGGGACTTCGCAGTCAACGTGTATTTTCATTTTTGAAAATTCGCTGTCTACCTCAACCGCAAAGGTAACCTCCATTTAGCTGGAAAATGTCGGTTATGCCCCAGTGTCGCTTTTGGTAGATCCCTGACACCTTTAGCGACACCCCTAATCATTTCTGCACTAATCTCAAAGGACGAATTTGCTATATACAAATCTCAAAGATATAGTAGACTAACTTTTAAAGTCCGTTGATATCTTTACAACGTTTTATTGCAACCGCATAGCAGAAAAACTATTAAACATTAGATAAGTGGCTGAAGTATGCATGAAATTATGAATTTCAGGCAGATATTGAAAATAAAATTTTAACAAATAAAATAAAAAAAGTGGAGAAATATTGAAATAATGAATTCAGCTTTACAGTCAATAGTTTTTCATGGTATTCAAAATCGTCTTTTACTAAATATTTACTTACAGACAAAATAAAATATTTGACATTGTTAGTTACTTAATAGTGGATTAATATGCAATATTAATTTGAAATCATTTTTTCGATTTTTTTTTAATTTTATTTATCCACTACAAACTACCTCAAATTAATGAGAGAAAAATTGTTGCTGTTGTCACACCTCCGCCGGGAATCGAACCCGGGACCTTTGATGGTCAGAACATTGGTGCGTAAAGCCAAAGCCAAAAGTCTCGGGTTCGATTCCCGGCGGGGGTGTGACAACAGCAACAATTTTTCCCTCATTAATTTGAGGTAGTTTGTAGTGGGTAAATAAAAAATCGAAAAAAATGATTTCAAATTAATATTGAATGAAACTTGATGTTTTTTTCCTTGAAATTTATTGTGATAGAATCTAATGTTTTAAACGAATCAGCATTTAATCCTGAAACACTAATAGTATCTATAAAATCTATAAATTTT